CGAAAGAAAGGGTAACACACGGCTCAAAGGGGTTGACTAGGGGGTATGACACACCAGGACAGTCAATTTGGTCATGGGCTAATCCTATGCCTCCATCATCTTAGCTAATGACAAGGTGAATGCTACACATCATGGAAGAGGGAACTATCACACAAGAAAGAAACGAGCAGACTCAAATCTCACATGGCTACCTATATTCTCTATCTCTCATTCTGATCCCCTGAACTAGATGCATAAACGACTGTAAAGAACTAGTGATCAATCCAAGTCACAGTTGGTAAGCAAACAGTTGAAAAACTGAACCCCTATACAATCCTACTGCACGTCTCAGTCATCATAATAGGCTGTCCTAGTCACAATCCAGTTGTCATGCATTAATCTGAAAACCATTCAATTCACCAATCAAAACACAGTGCCAATATGATCAAACAGCCGTACTTGGAGCCCTCAAATCTCGAGATTTGGACAGCGGACTAGGCTCCAAGCACACAAACTCATCTAGCAGTTAACAATAGATAAACACCCCCTCACACTTAAGCACGACATTGCCCTCAATGGAGTAGAGGGGAAGAGAAGGGGAACGATGTTACCGGATTGAAATACTGCGGAAGACTGGAAGTGGACCAGTCAGCGGGGGACATATGGAACGAACGGGCAGTTCTGCACTAAGGAAACATCAAGAACACACTAGCACACTGTGCGTTAGGGATCAGAGTTGGCCTAGATGGCCACAAAATAAACAATCCACAAAAGAAAGAAAAACGATAAAAACAAACGACAGACTCAGTTCAAGCTCCTCAAACACATGGAGCAAACATAAAAACTCTAAAACAAAAACACACTCTGAGGGGCGACGAGTACAACCTACTCGTCGCCAAGGTTGTCTAGATCGATGTCGTTCATGAAGGCATCATCATCATCAGCTGGTGGAGGTGGAAGTGGAGAGTCCTCCCAGGGAGTCCTCCAGACTGGCTGCTCGCACGGTAGCAACTGGAGCAAGTGCTGCTGGACCTCCTGCATGCGGCGAGATCGGGCCTGCTCCCTCTCAATGCGAGCTAGGGTCACCCCCTGCTGGGTCTCCATCCGATCAAGATGCTCATCATAAGCAGCCATCCGGGTCTGGTACTCGGCATGGTGAGCCAAATACTGCTGCTGGAACTGAGCTGATGGTCGAAGAGCTGCTGATTCTGGAGACGCAGCTGCTCGAACTGGTGAGTGAAGTAGTCTTGGCAGGGGAAAGTGGAACTGCTACCCCCGTACTCGAAGGTGGTGGGGCGGGAGGCAGTAGCGTCATCCACATCCTCGGGGTGGACATCCTCAACAACCGCATCCTCAGGAACCTCCGGCTGGTCCTCCGCTGGGATCTGAGGTTGAGGAAACCCCTCGATCCACTTGACTCCTCGCTCTTCTCAAAGCAGGTGCATGCAAGAGATCGTATATTCGCCAAAGACACTGGTGTCCCCCTGCTCTATGCACCCCTGCAGTGATATCTGGAAGTAGGTGGCCAGGCGGGTGATGAGGGGAGTGCAATGGAGGCTCTTCTTCTCTGAAGCACTCTTGTCGAAGGTCCTTGCCACCACAGAACCCAAGTGGAGAGGATGATCCCCCTGGCACATAGACTGGATGAAGTACATGGCTCTCCTGGTGATGGCGCTGGCACTGTCCGAGGCTGGAGTGTAAGACTTTACCAGCAAGTGTTGGAGAATGTGGTTGTCGAGCTACAAGGTGCTGGCCTTCGTCTTTCCCGCCAGGAAAGGGACGCTGGCCTGGCCGAGCGAGTCGTGTGTACAGTGTCTTGAAGTTCACCCCCTCTGGCTCGGTGAGCTTGGTGACGTATTCCCTGTCATCGGCCAGTCCGAGGCCGAGGGCATCGCCAGGTCGTGGTAGCTCATGGAGCGGGGTGCACCGCCGAGCCTGAACTTGACGGCTTCACCGTCCGCCCAATCCTCCGTCTCTTCGTGCTTCAAGGTCGTATAGAACTCAAGCACGAGCTCGTGGTAAAACTTCTCGCGAATGCATAGTAGACGGCGCCAGGGGCGGTTGGTGACAATGGCGGAGAAGTGCCCGTAGCAGTGCAACTTCTCAAACTCCCACCTGGACCAGCAATGATGCTTCCCAAACGAGCAGGCCAGGACGCTCTTAAAACGATCCTGGTGGGGGCCCCTCTTCAAATCTCGAATAAACGGGTGCTCCTTATTTAGGTCAAAGTTGTAATTACCTTTGGTTGATTTACTATTGATCAAACTGCGGAAGATCTGATAGTAGCTTTGAATCTCTTAAGCTAACCAACCCCTCTCAGATAGACTACACGGCAGATGACTAGTCTTCACCGGGATAAACCGTTGAGGCTTGGATTCCAGTACAAAGCAGTGAATCGACTAACTCTCGTATAATTGATTCACTACTACTGATTGATGAAACTATAACAACCTAATCAGATTCTATCTATCTCAGGTTGCAACAGAAATCAATAAAAGATGATAAGACTTCAATTGACTCAATGAATCATGCATCAAACGATTATAATCGAACAATATCACAAACCAAAAGTCATTACAATCAATATCCCTAACACATGGAACTAGGTTTCTTCATACTCAAGTGAGAGAGGGTTCTACTCCGTAGAGGGAGAGAAGGAAAAAAGAAATAAGCGCAGTCATACCCATAAAGATGAGAATAATCTGCTCTGGGATGTCGATTATCACGCTTGGGGATGCAATTTGGGCTTCAATGTTGAGAAATCCACTCCAAATAGCTCATAGGGTTTGTTATTCTCACTTTCCCTCTCTAAGACTATGTTTTTCTGCTCTGAAAAATCGTCCCTCTCAGAATATGAGCTCCTCTCCAATAAAACCCGCACAGGTGCAAAAACAAGGCCTCAAAGCCCAAAAACACGGCCATGTTTTAATCAAAAGAGGCCAGGTTTCTGAATGACGATTCTGTGAAGTGCAGAGGAAAAACACGGCCTCTAGCACAAGGTCGTGTTTTTCACAATAGAGGGCGTGTGTTTCAACAGCTCTGCTGCCCGTTTTTGCGATCGACCTGCTTTCACCTCCAAATGTCCCGAAACTCGTCCCCAAGCCATATCTACGTACTAGGACATGAAATACGACAAAAGAATGCAACCTAGCATAAAATAGGCCAAGGGATGAACAATCATTAAGCTAAACGATCAAGAAATGAAGGGGGAAACATGTGCAAATACGGTGTTATCAAATTCCCCAACACTTAACCGTTTGCTTGTCCCCAAGCAACCAAATCAGACACAAGGTAAGCTCAAAACATTTTAATCATGCAACCTTCGGGGACATATCATATAGGCACAAAACACGTGAATCATACTAGCTACTAGGCATCGACACACAAACAACCGCAAAAGCAATCTGGACAACCACCACAGAGGACATTCAAGTGCAGCAAAATCGGGTAAAGGGAGAGTCTCCCTTCTGTTCACAAACCAACATAGACTTGACTCAACCCCTTATTCAAGACAGTCACCTCATGCATAAAACTCAAGACATCAGATTCAAGACCGAGCAATCTAGGTCCTCACCGGGGTATATAATAGGAAAATTGAATCACTCACTCTCGACCAGTTGGGTTAGTACAAAATTTGATGCAAGATGTGCATACTCGTACTCTCAATCCCTAACGTCTCTTCACCATGACGGCAGCCTCTAAATGTTAGATTTCACATATCGGGTGTCACCACTAACTAATCCGGAGGTCTTAGACACAGGTTCAGATGACTGGCTAGGGTTTTGAACATAGGGAAAAGGCTTTTTATGTGGTGGAAGTATTCATAACACAAGGTTCCACAATTCCAAATCCAACACATTCACAGCCATTCAAACCACTTACTTTCTTTCTGCCATTTTGCATTACTCAAGTTCTTTAGAGCATAAGAGCGAAGGAGGTCACAATAATGTTAGTATTTCTAAGCCAGACTGCTAAGAAACATTGCTTAATGAGCATGATTCAGATTTTTGGTAGTGGCTCTCTTTAGCTTTAATTCATTTTTTTTCTTTTTTTTTTTTACAAACAAATGCTCAACTTTTAAGAACTACCTCCAACCCTCACATTATTTTTAGCAGAAACAGCAAAGAACATGCAAAAACCACTCTGTGGAACCTTATAAGAGTTGCAAAAGGGTGATTTTTCATTGTAGACTGAAAGAAAAAAGTGACACGGCTCAAAGGGGCTGACTAGGGGGTATGACACACCAGGACAGTCAATTTGGTCGTGGGCTATTCCTATGCCTCCATCATCTTAGCTAATGACAACGTAATGCTACACATCATGGAAGAGGGATCTATCACACAAGAAAGAAATGAGCAGGCTCAAATCTCACATGGCTACCTATATGCTCTATTTCTCATTATGATTCCCTGGACTAGATGCATAAACGACTGTCAAGAACAAGTGATCAATCCAAGTCACAGTTGGTAACCAAACAGTTGAAAAACTGAACCCCTACACAACTCTACTGCTCGTCTCAATCATCACTATAGGTTGTCCTAGTCACAATCCAGTTGTCATGCATCAACTCTAACAGCCGTTTGATTCACCAATCAAACCACAGTGCCAATATGATCATGCAAACATCAGTACTTAGAGCCCTCAAATCTCGAGATTTGGACAGCGGACTAGGCTCCAAGCACACATATACGTTCCAATAAAGACAAAGCCCCCCCCCCCACACACACTTAAGTTTGACATTTCCCTCAATGGAGCATAGGGAAGGGGAAACATGTTACCATGAAATGAAGATCAGGAACGGGGACTTGAAAGCAGACCAGTCAAGAGCAGGGGACTGGAAGGGGACCAGTCCAACGCATAGAGCTAAAGTCAGCATAACACACACAAACACTGGGTGAAAGAAACAACAACCATAGTTCCATGTGCACAATCCAAAAGAGAAACACACAAAAAAAAAAAAAAACAAAACAAAAAAGAAGTCACTGGTGGAAAATGAAAGGAAGCAGCAGCCCGCACCGAGATCAATCCGAGCCCGGGTAGTCACCATCCTCCTGTGATCTGGTATCAGACGGTCCGTCACTGGAGGTGGAGGCCCCAGAAGAGTGGCCGAAAGGCACATAGGGGATGCCGAGACGCCAGAGGAGGAGCTTCTGAGTGGACTCAATACGGTCAAGGCGGGCATCTAGATAGCCAAAGGACAAGACTGGCGGAGGCGGACGGGGCTCACGAGCCCGGGCAGGGCAGTGCAGGTGGCGGCTCCGCCTAATGGACCTCTGGCGGTGGGGCGTCATAGCGGCCATCCTTGTTGAAGTACGCATAGGGGGGATCCTGGCGTGTCATGGCCTACCAATGTTCAAGAGAGAGAGAGAGAGAGATGGTGTGACCCACAGGCATGCACCCCATGGCCACCGGATCAAGACCGAGTCGTCGAGCTAGACGTGTGAGAAATGCCCAGCCATGAACCACGCTCATGTTCGACCGGGTGCTGATTTTGTGCAATGTTAGCACAAGGGAGTGGCCCGCATGAATGGGACAGAACCAAGCAAGACTGGTGAGAATGGCGAGGTGGCGGTTGCTAATGGCACCGTGACTCAAGACATAATGGAGTAGCCAAAAATCATGGTGAAGCATTCTTGCCTTGGCATTGCGTTAGTCAAAAGGTATGCCCACCACAACACGGGTGAGAGTATCGGCCAGCGCTGATCTAAAGTGGCATGTGAAGCAAGTGAGCGCTCAGTCTTGAGTTGAGTGTAGAGGGGGCCCAGAGCAAAGTCCTCGGAGTACAAACCCATGGTGATGCTGAACTGGGTAAGAGACATTGTGTGAAGCTGGCCACCAAGCCGAAAGATAATCGCATTGGGCAGGGAGAATTGCTTCAAAGCTGCCTTGTTGTGGGCTAAGAACTCCAACGTGAGCTCCTTGTAGATGATCTCATTGAGGTCAAACACACACTACAAGAAAATGCACATAAAGCTATGAAACTTTATGTGGCTAAAGTACAAGATTTTCGTAGCTGAACTGTTTAGCTACAAAAAAATTAATTTGTAGCTCGTGTGGCTAAAAATGGCGCAGCTAAAGCTTAGCTACACAATTTTTCATTTGTGTAGCTAATAAAATATACTTTTTGCTATACAAGAAGTATAAGGTAGCAAAACATAAAAAAGACTTTAGCCACGATGTGATATTTTTGTAGCAAAATCAAGAAAGCATTTAACCACGTTAAAATTAGGATATAGCTTAATATATTCTATTGCCGTGAATTATTCATTTGTAGCTAAATTCTTTTGCCATGAATAATGAGGTTGCTATACCTTCGACTAATTAACGAGCTACATTTCTTGCTAATAGAAAAACTCGTGGCTATGTTAGATGCAATTTTTTCAATGAACCCTGATTCATGTTCTTTGTCTTTTGCAGAAAAATAATTTATATTTCACACAGTCGAGATTTAAGACGGTAATATATACCCAAAACTTTAAATAATGAAGAATTACATGCGAAAATAATAATTTCACTCAAAGTAGAAATTTATATATATAGTAATAAAGCATAAATAATTGTTACATTCTTTTTGCATATTCATATTATAATCTTTCTCAATAACATTTGCAGCAGTAAAAATTTACATCACTAAAGAGAGTATGTACAATATTATTTCAACCTTTTTCCACTCTAACATTCTTCCATCTTAACAAATTCAGTAATGCACCATAACCTGTCAAAACAATAATCAAAATTGAATGTTAGTTATTATTTATTTATATATTAAACTACAAACAAAAATATATATGAAAATAAGCTATGCTCGCAAATCATTTGTTTAAATATATTGATTCCAATATAAGAAAGTGTACATGGTCAATCGAGCATGAAAAAATTAAACACGAAAGGAACTCCAATTACAACCGAATGAACTGACCATAGCGCGAGCAATCTGCAGCTTCTAAACCTCATATTCCTGCTTTTGATTCAAATAACCTTAGACAAATCTAATATTAGTATGGAATCTAGAAGAAGAGACAAACCTGAAACACTGATCAAGGCTTGAAACGCAACCCATCCCCGTATAAATCCCTTGTTCTTTTGTCCTTTTCAATCTCACCATGATAAAGGGGTTGATGAAGTTGTCCGATCGATCGATCTCTAACGGCCATTGATGATCAAGCGCTACTCGGACATCCGAGTGTTATGTACGATACCCTCGACATTGCATCTCTCTCATGATTGCATTTGCAGCCACGGGTCGCGAATCTCGTCTACCTCACAATTGAGCTCTCTTCTCCTATCGTATTGGAACTCGGTGGCGGCTGCCGAAGGCTCCTCGTATAGTTTATGTGTGGGTATATATATCCGCTTATCATCATATACAGTAATCCCACCCTAAAATATGTTCCGCGTCAACCCTAGGGCTGAACTAAAATGACTAATTTGGCCTTTATTCCACCTTTGTCGTTATAATTTTGGCCACTTAATTCCCCACCCTAAATGTTTTAGTACATTTTAGTGTAACCTGATTATAAATTACCCTAATTGAGTTTGAATCTTCGTATTTAACGCTTCACTCAAACCTTAGTATTTCGTTTGCATCCAAAATTTTGAGGTTTAGTAGAGAGATGTCCATATTATCATTGCTTACGGGAAGATAAGGTTGTCAAACCGATTTCACGACCGACACCGGTTGAACTGGTTCAACCGACCAGCATGCCACCGACATGACAATCACGGGAAAGATAGAATATTGTTCGAAAATGACTCGCTCCATTCTTAGAGCCAAGTTTAAAAAGGTCATAAAAATATTTCCCTCAACATCCAGGTGTTGAACCTGTTTAATCAAGATTGGAAGTTTTAATTCCCAACACCTATCGAGAATGTAACCACTCTCACGCTACATATCTAATTGTGGTCATTTTACTTACTTTAGGATTACATAGAATTGATCGTAATGATCAAAGCCTCTAACACACACACACTGATGAAGTATAGTTTGTTCAGTGTCACTGTTCCGTTCGTTATATTGTAAATACAGGTTAGGCCACTCTTTTATGTCGATTTTTCCAAAAAAAAATATCAATAAGATAGCTAATTTAAACTTTATGTATATATAGAGGCTAGTATATGCCTAGCATGTTCAATATTGATGCATTCACATTCATTATATCTATTTCAAACTAACTTATTGTTTGCTATGTCAATTTCCTACCTATAACCTTTTTTTACCTAATCAAACTAACTTATTGTATCACTTAAATTTATTTTTAATATATGTTCTAGCCACAAAGTTTTATCAACCATGGCTAAATCTTTGATTTTTGCTAGCAATTAAATACTTCATAACAATTTTATAAACATAATAGCTACACTATTTAAAAACTACAACAAAACATTGTACATAAACTGTTACAAAGTTATTTTTGTGGCACAAGATGTTTGAAATACTACTTTTGCCACAAATATTTTCCCTTTTTAGCTAAATATATCCATGACTAGCTACAAATGTATGACCTAGCAAAAAGTTCATGGCTGAAGATATATATTAATTGCCACAATAAATATAATTTCAAACAAAATTATGAAAATAGCTACAAGTAATAAAAGTCGTGACTATAAAACTTAATGAAAGCTATGGATAAATTATTTTATGGCTATTAGTTGTCTGCCAGGTTGGCGAACGTGGTGATCGATCCTGAAGGGCGAGTGTCCAGCCACTCCTTGGCTTGCCCCTCCAGAGTGAATGGTAAGTACCTTAGCTGGATGGTATCGGCTGGGACCCCATTTATCTTGATCCCATTGATGAGCTCGTGGAATCGTTGCAGATGCGATTTGGTGCACTCCCCCTCTTTTCCACGGAATACCACCGAGCCGTGAAGTATGGTGATGACAGAGGTGCTCACCTCAAAGTTATTGGCTGGAACTTGAGGGGTGCTATATGGGCGACCTCATGTCCACGGCTCTGGCGGTCCAGTAATATCCCATGGTGTGCTCATCCTGGACAACCACATCGTTGTTTTGAGGTTCACCCATGTCTTCATCCTGGTTGATCTGCAGCTGTGCTAGAGCCTCGTCCGCAGCCAGTCGCGCCTTTAGAGCTCGCTTGAAGTTCCTAAAGATATGTTCAATCTCTTGGTATAATGGCAATAACTCTCTCGACTGGCTACGGGTCATGCACTATCTGCACAAAGAATGCAAACACACCCCGTGAGGAACAAAGGTGGAAGAGAGAGAATGCAGTAAAGAAAAAGCTAGAGTAACAAAATTTCACGTTTCAACAATAACCCAGAGTTCCCCGGCAACGGTGCCAAAAACTTGACACGCCAAAACACAACACCAAACTACGACCAAGTGTAATGCAGTCCGGAAATCCAGAATAGTGGCAAGTTCAATTTATCAACCCGGGGTTGATGACTCGATATTTGCACATGTTTTCCCTTTTGTTTCTTGATCGTTTAAGCTTGCATTATCGCTTCTTTGGACTATTTTATGCTAGGTTGTGTTCCTTTTTCACATTTCAGGTCCTAGCACATAAAGTGAAGCATAGGCGCAAGTTTCAAGTAAATCGGAGATCAATTGGCGACTCGGGGGAAGAAACTCGGGTATGGCTTGAAGAAGAATGGATTTCTACCTCAGTTTGTGACCATATAATCATTTAATCTTTTCATTAGAAGAAATAAGACGAGACTATGAGCGTCTGGGATCAAACGGCACCTGATTTGGAGTCCGAACGAGGGAGAAACAAAGAATCAAAGTTAGGGGAAAATTGGTTTCGGGCTCCTCTGAGAAACAGAAGGGGGCCCTATCGTGACGCTAAAATCCCCGGTAGGGGATTTTTGGCCTTGACCGGGGATTTTCCCCCGTCCCCAACGGTGCGTTTTAAAGATACTCGGTCGCCACCTAAAATACCCGACAGGGGATTATGACCAGGGATCGCGAACGCAGGCTGTTAAAAGCCTGTTTTGTGCGTTTTTGCAAGGGGAGGGCTGGGTTTTGGATCCCAAACACCCAAGGGACGAACCAAAGAGAGAGAGAGGGTGATTTGAGGGAATTCTAAGAGTGGAATTGGAGGATTTCTTTGCCTTGGAAGCTCGAGGAACAAGCCCAGACTTGAAGACTGATCATCTGAAGATTCTTACTGCAGTCTCTCTCTTCTCTATGGAGTAACTTCCCTTCACTTAGGTTTTGAGGAACCATAGCTATGTTTGTTTGATTGGATGATTGTATGAGTACTCTGACTTGATAATCTTGAGTTCATATTCAATATATGCATGTTTTCATGATTCAATTCTGCTTTAGTCGAGATTATTTA